GTTGAACCACGAGTTCTTACAACATCAGCAAACGCGTTCTTCCCTGATATATTGAATTATCTAATAATAATAAGACAGTTACAAACCAAAATGTATGATAGTAGAGCAATTAGGGAAAAATGCACAAGGAGAAAAAAAGAAGAAAAACATACATAAAAAGAAAAGAAAAAAAGGGGGATAGAGTTCAGTAAGGAGGAATATCAATTGAACGTGGCAAGTAGTACAGATATATAAAAAAAAATAAGATTCAAAACTACACGATAATTTCATAAATAATTGTACCTTATCAAAAAATAAATAAGTTATTCTCATCAGAAAGAGATTCTTTTCCAAACAAAGGGGTCTTTACGCTCAAAGGATGGAAACCGCGAGTTGAGCGGAATAACTGCACTCTTATTTCGTTATATTTGGGACATTTAAAAAAGTAATGTTCGGCATCTTCAATACTGGATGTACATTAGCTAAAAAGTGAGTTATCTCGTAGATGATTTTTACAAAGATCCGCATTAAGATTTACTACATTCGTTTCTAATACGTGCATGGTAAACAGATAAAAACTTCGATCTCCGTATACAAAATATTTAGGAACGGTATGTGGTTTATAAATTTCTTTGAGACGAGATTTAAAAATATTAACAGAAGCCGCATGTCTAATATGATCATCCGAATTGTTCTATAACTCTAAGGATGAAGGAATGAAAGATTTTGCTTACCCATTACTTCATGAGCATTTTGTGAAAAAAATGGCTGTTTTCATTGAAAAAGTCTCCCTTTACAAGTTCAAATTGCTATAATACTATAAAAAACTGCTTCAACACTAATCAAACTTGGCACAAATGTTGACTGGACCATTGCCCTTGCAACAACATGCTCAGGCTTAATTTTCTGTTACCATGGCAACGAGGGGACATCTCAAAATTGCCAAAAATCACTATTTTGCGTTGATTTTTTCCATCAAAATTGATTTCAAAGTGCTGCAACTTCTCAATGGATTGAGATAGAGTCAAATGCTTTTCAGCGTTGGTTACACGTTACCTTATGATCAATCTGGGGTCATTTACAGCCTCTCACAAGTCCAAAATTTTCTTGGCGATGAGGGGGACTGCCGCCCCCTTGCAAACCCCCCAAACAGAAGGGGGCACATCCCCCTTCTGGCAACCCCCTGATGTATCTTTTTGGTTGGGGGGCCGCGCCGAAAAAGAGGTCATTTTTTTAACAACATTTCTCAAAACAGAAAACAAGTGTTTAGGGTCTAAATAAGGCATTTTTTCATCATTTGAGACAACAAAAAGGGGGTGAAAAAGGCGTTAAAAGGCGTGTATATGAAGTAATGGGTTAAATCATTGGGTTACTGGAAATTTTATTGTTAGCAAGTGACGCTGACCTTGCTTTCAGATATCTAAGTAGCAAGTTCAAGCTGCATAAAATATATAAAAACAACTCACCACTTGTTTTGAGTTTAACTTTATCTGAATATTTCCAGCCTCAGTTACCCAGCTCAGTTACCCAGCGGAGTTATTGTAAGTTATTGAGTTACTGAAAATTTAATTGTAAGCAAATGACGTTGTCCTTGCTCCCAGATATCTAAATAGCAATCCCAAGCGGCATAAGATATATAAAAGAAACTCACCACTTGTTTTGAGTTTAATTTTATCTGAATATTTCCAGCCTCAGTTACCCAGTAAGGTTTTTTGATATGTATCATGTCAGATAGTCCTCTAAACTCCACCTGTAATATTCAACAATTTATCATACACGTACTTTGACTGTCGAGAGACAATCTAAGCTTATCTTTTCTTCATGTAGCAATAACACTAGGCTTTGTTGAAACAGATATGTACAGTGCTCGTGTCCTACTGGCCTGAAGCTTAGCAAAGCTTGTTTTGTTGCTGTTGTTTTTTTTTTAATTTGGTTGATTTTTTTTATTGATTTTTTTTTTTGGGGGGGGGAGGGGGTTCTTGTTTGTTGTTGTTGTTTTATTGTTGTTTTATTGATATTTTGTTGTTGTTTTAGTTTTCTTTTTCATTTTGTTGATGTTTAGTTGTTTTTTGTAGGTTTTTTGTTTGTTTGTTTTTTTGTTTTTTTTTCTTTTTTGCTTTTGTGACAATACTAGCATGTTAACACATATAATGAATAATAATTAAGTGTTCTCGAACAATTTTATTATCTTCTAGGATAATTGCATATGTTTTGGATATGTTAAATTGGATCATTGGATCATGTATCTAAGATCTCAGATTGTGGTAATAAGCTCGAGTGCAAAACAAACTCTTGTGACTTATATTAATCACTTTCGAGTCCGCTTCCTGGAACCAACCAGTACTGGTATCCCATATGAAGAAATATGGTCATGACCCATGATCCCTGGATTGTGAGGCAGACACCTCAACCACTAGACCACCGCTGCCCATATTTTGAAGGTATGCTACATTTAAAAGTGTTAATTCACTACCACTTAACATAACAACATATAAATATCTTTGTTAAATCAGATTGATAATAAAAAGGGTAAAACTGAAAACTAAATACATTTTATGTACATGCACTATCATGTGCTTTGAACTTATTCAGAATGATAAATACAGCCTCCAGATTCATGATACTTTTCACGACAATTTTGAAAATGTATTTAAAATAATACATGTGGAGGAAATGAAGTTCATTTTTTTGAAACCATCAAAACTAGGTAATTTCTATTTCAATATAATATTTGATAAACTACCTTGATATGAAGAGAATCTACATTTTCTGGTGGGTCTACACTAAAACTAAGCGAGCCCGTTGCCGGAGGAACCAATGCTTGTTCCCGTAAGTAATGAGCGTTATATGAATGCAAAGCCGGGTCGTAGTATTTCACATACGTTACAAGCGTCACTTCCGGTAAAGATGAAATGACCGGATTACCGTCGGCTTGTGTTAATGACACCTGTAAAAATGGGAGAAAAAACTTATTCATTAAATCATCCAATGCACCGTTAAGTATTAAAGACAGGTGTTTCGCGATTTTTACAATTACTTGATTTATTTTTATTCTATTTTCTTAACTTTATGTTCATAAGTAAAAGGTAGAAACCAAAATCCACTTTAAAAGAACTAATAAAGAAAAAGAATACAAAAAATATTCTGAATTATATAATGAATATGATATTTCATGTTAATTAATATATATACATAAAGCTAAAATAATACTTTTATGTTACTCACTCAAGAGATTTTCCCCATTTAATTGGGAAGAGGCCTTAGCCCTCTTGATTTTGGAAAAAAATATCGCTAAAATTTCTTAATTTGGGAAATTAAAAGCAGGTGTAAGTTCAGATTTTTGGGAAAAATGCCTGATTTTAAAGAAAATTTCAATTCTAAAGAGGCCTTTTATCGGAGTCTGTTATGTAAGCAGAAAAATAACTGCAAAGTTGTAAGTGAATTGTTAAAGTTACTTACTCGACCATATGGAAGCGTCCTAGTGCCAAACCTGAAATGTTTTTATGTCATAATTAGTAGATAGTAAGTGCTAATTAGTAGAAAGTAAGTGCTAATTAGTAGAAAGTAAGTGCTAATTAGTAGATAGTAAGTGCTAATTAGTATATACTAAGTCATAATTAGTATATAGTAAGTACTAATTAGTAGATACTAAGTCATAATTAGTAGATAGTAAGTGCTAATTATTAGATAGTAAGTGCTAATTAGTAGATACTAAGTCATAATTAGTAGATAGTAAGTACTAATTAATAGATACTATGTCATAATTAGTATATAGTAAGTACTAATTAGTAGATAATAAGTCATAATTAGTAGATAGTAAGTACTAATTAGAACATAATAAGTCATAATTAGTAGATAGTAAGTACTAATTAATAGATACTATGTCATAATTAGTATATAGTAAGTACTAATTAGTAGATAATAAGTCATAATTAGTAGATAGTAAGTACTAATTAGAACATAATAAGTCATAATTAGTAGATAGTAAGTACTAATTAATAGATACTATGTCATAATTAGTATATAGTAAGTACTATTTAGTAGATAATAAGTCATAATTAGTAGATAGTAAGTACTAATTAGAACATAATAAGTCATAATTAGTAGATAGTAAGTACTAATTAGTACATATGAAAATATGAACGTATTATTTCCTCCATATTTAATGTTGTGAAACTGATCTTTCGCTATCAAATAGTCACAACTCAGTATCTACTAATTAGCACTTACTATCTACTATATATGATTTAGTATCTACTAATTATGACTTAGTTTCTACTAATTATGACTTAGTATCTACTAATTACGACTTATTATCTACTAATTAGCACTTACTATCTACTATTTATGACTTAGTATCTACTAATTATGACTTAGCATTTACTTATTAGTACTAACTATCTAATAATTATTACTAAATATGTACTAATTAGTACTTACTATCTACTAATTATAACTTACTATCTAATAATTAGTACTTACTATCAACTAATTATGACTTAGTATATCTACTAATTATAACTTACTATCTAATAATTAGTACTTACTATCAACTAATTATGACTTAGTATCTACTAATTATAACTTACTATCTACTAATTAGCACTTACTATCTACTAATTAGTACTTACTATTTACTAATTATCACTTACTATCTAATAATTAGTACTTACTATCTACTAATTATGACTTAGTATCGACTAATTATAACTTAGTATCTACTAATTAGCACTTACTATCTAATAATTAGTACTTACTATCTACTAATTATGACTTAGTATCTACTAATTAAGAGATAAAAATATTTCAGGTTTGGCACTACGACGCTTCCATACGACCATGATACGTTAATCCCGGTTTAAAAAACATCATACTTGGTGCGGTATCAAACGACAGACGAAATGGCACCTTGTAAAATTTCACCTACAACATTTTATCATTATTAGTATTAGTATTACATGTATTAGTATTAGTATAATTATAAGTTTTTTATTATTATTATTATTATTATTATTTTTATTATTATTATATTATTATTATTATTATTATTATTATTATTATTATTATTATTATTATTATTATTTATACTATTATTATGTCATGTGATAAACAGAAATGTGTAGAAATAATTGAAACACTTTACAACCAAAATCTTGGCAATTTTATAATAAATAAAGCATTAAATCTTAACATTATTTCATTATTTACTACCCTAAAAAAGTACCTGAGCTGTAGCATTTCTTGTTATATTGTTGATGCTTTCTGTTACGGACGCTTTAATGGTAAGATGATAATTTGCCAGTTTTTGGACCAGGGGTTCATATGTATTCGGATCAGCTTCGTCTCGAATACGACTAAATGGAACCGTAAATTTAGCTTCTCCGTTGATCTAAACAAAACAAAGTTGTAGAACATTTAAATTATACTTTTTCAACAATGTCTATAAATTGATTTGAATTTTTACACGTTATTTGACATGGATGTATACCAATTTTGTAAAAAGGCACATTATTACCCAGAATTTTTATTTCCGTTCTTTAGAAAGGTAAAACACGTGTTTTACAACGTTTTAAAAATAATGTGATTGAAACCACTTATATGGTGGCTGATTTGTGCCATTCGTGTTTTTGCCCGGAGACATCGCCAAACGAAAAGTCGAGAAAACAAGATTAAAATGTCGGGGGCGTGGAGCGAAAACTAATAGATAAACTTTCGCCCCGCACCCCGCTAATAACCGGGTTTTCGTTTCGCGCCCCGCCAAATTAACTTGTTAATTCTCGACTTTTTGCTTAGCGAGGTCGCGGGGCAAAAACGGAATGGCACAAATTAGCCCCATACACTTACAGTATGTATCACTTAAGAAATACGAAATAAACTGCCCAAAAAGTAACAAATGAAAAACGAAGAAATATTGTGACTTCCATACAAACCACCTTATCACTACATTTTAATAATGACCAAAAATAGCAATAGATGCAAATGATGGCTGGGGTAATTGGCCAATGCGTAACTTTTTTGGTTTATACAAAATTTATTTGAGTTTGCTTGTGTAGGAAGCTATAAGCTTAAAGACTCACTTTCGAATTCGTTCTTGGAACAAACCAATAAAGAGCAATGAGTGTAAAGTTTCTTGCTCAACGAAACAGCGACTTGCCCCTGACAGGGTTTGAACTCATGCCGCTAGCGATCATTAGTTTACTAGTCCGACACGGCCATAACTTTTTTGAAAATGTCACAGGACAACATAAGAAAACTTTTGAAAAAAAAAACATATAAGCATTCATTTGGCATAATGTTCCATTTAGATAAGTTAAACTAATCTTTTGTTGAATAAGGCACAGGGTATGTTACTCAGTAGGCCTGGAGAAAAAATCATCACGGTAGTCAATTTTCGAAAACAATCACTGAATTGGGCACAAAATTTGAACTAAATGTAGAAACATTCAAACTAAAATTATTTTTATGTTACAAGCATACATGTATGAGTCTGTTTTCGAAGACACAAAAATGTGCTTTACCAGGGAATCTGTATGTAAACACAAGGGCCATAGTTTGTCCAAGACTGGGTATCTAAATCACGGAATGATGGGCATAAAACCTGATGAATTACAAGCACACACTCTTATAAGGGTAGAAATCATGTATATATGGATTATTTAAAAAGGGAGGTAACTTCGCTATAATCCCTTTATGCTATGGTATGGACCTAAGTAAGAAAATGTCATTACAAAACAACACACTCCTTGAATTTAATAATCACCATACATTCAGTCGTTATGTTAATTCGAGCAAACAAGGTCAATACCTGAGTTTAATTTTCTTTCTTTAGAAATGACTTAATATCATATTTCTATGTTTTAAGGAGCCAAAATATCAATGAAAAGTAGGTAGGTGAACTTCTATGGAACTGTTGTAAATCCCCCCTCCCCCTTTTAAATTCATATTTATGCTAATATATCTCAAAATCAGGTAAATAAGTGTTAAAACGATTTTAAATTTCCTAATTTTTGCTTATTGCTATTAACTAAGGGCCGTAACTCAAAAATATACAATTATATGTTGATAGTAGTTAATTAGTTACAACATAAATACAACAATCAAGCTGAATTTATTAAAATCCTACAAACACTTTACAACAAACTGGCTCAAAACAGTAGTTTTCCTTAATATAAATGCCATTTTTCTAAGTAACAAAGGGACATAACTCAAAAATGACAAGGCGTAGTTTAATTAAACTTAAACATGCACGGCAATTGTCAAGGTAATTGGTAAAATAACTAAAATATATTGATCCGTACGAACAGAATGGGGTTAAGGGCATTGCCATTTCAATAAGCTATTTGTTTACACAATTTGTTTACACAGCCAATAATGATAAGCCATAAACAATTCATACATTAAATGTTAATTCCACCATCACTCCGCCACCATTATATTTCCATGGAGCACTACTATAATCTGTGTCAGCATATAACTTTACTGTACCAATCACAGGTTTACCGTACGAATATCTGGAAAGAAAAAAGACGGCATATAACTTAACTCACCAATCACAGGTTTACCGTACGAATGTCTGGAAAAATGACAGCATATTACATTACTGTTCCAATCACAGGCTAACCGTACGAATATCAGGAAAAAATGACAGCATATTGCTAAACTGTACCAATCACAGGTTTACCGTACGAATATCTGGAAAAAATGACAGCATATAACATTAATGTTCTAATCACAGGTTTACCGTAAGAATATCTAGAACAAAATGACAGCATATAACATTAATGTTCTAATCACAGGTTTACCGTAAGAATATCTAGAACAAAATGACAGCACACAATTGTACTGTTCCAATCACAGTTCTGTACAAATATATGGAAAGAAAAATGGTGGTATATAACTTACTGTTCTAATATCGAATATCTGGAGAGAAAAATGTCTGCATATTGCTTTGATGTACCAATCGTAAGTTTGCTGTGCGAATATTTGAGGAACAAAACAGGTCCTTGCTACATCGCTACCATAAATTAAGATTTTAACGCACACAAATACATTAACTCATTAGATTTTGTTGCGTTTATCCAATATATATTATAAGGAACACAAATAAAGACATTTTTATCTAAAGAAAAAAATAAGAATTGAAATAAACTTACGTTGCTTTGACGGTACCATGCATTTCGTTGTCCGTGGTTACGACGTAAGAGGGCAGCTCTATTTTAATATCAAACTTTGGAAGCACTAAAAGTTAAACAAGAGAAAGTAGAGAAAGTTTATTATCACAATTCCTTGAAATATAAAATTTTGACTTTATTTCTTTCCAAATGTTTTCTGGCTGACTTAAATAAAATTAGATAACATCATGATTTGGGGTATTTATTGCCTGTCGTGTATATAAATGAAAGATAATATTTATCTATGTAGAAATCTGTATTGATTTCAGTCTGATAACGAGCACATGTTAAGAAAGGTCAGAATAAGTTAGAACAAGCAATGTAATACTAGAGTTTGGTTAAATTGTCCGTGCACGAAAAAGCGACATACATATACAAGCCAATTGATGCATGTCCCAGTTATGGTAAATATATAAATTTGTACAACAAACACACAAACAAACACTGTCCATGAATAAAATAATATACAGAGGATAAGCTAGTTTCTTCTATAAATACAGGATATATTTTCAGCGAATGGTATGAAAATAAATATTTCACGAGTGGCACACGAGTGAAATATGGTATTTTTCATACCACAAGATGAAAATAAATCCTGTATTAATAGAAAAAACTTGAATTTTCAGGGGGTTCTTTTAATACTTGTTCTCCTTTTATAACGCAAGAATCCAGTGAAAATACGGAAAATATGTTTCACTGCAGAGAAAAATAAAGTTTACAGTGAAAATACGAAAAGAAAAAAATATGCATTTTATTTCATCAATATTTCTCAATATTTCATTTATGAAAAAAAATAAAATGATATGTCAACTGTTTCGTTTAGAATCATGAGGGCAACAGTTTTTTTTTTTTTTTTTTTTTTGGGGGGGGGGGGGGGGGAGGTTATAATAATTAATTATGTACAATCATGTAGTACAGAAAAACAGAATCCCTAAAGAAAGCCAAACACGGCATAAATGTAAAATGTTGCAGGCTCAGTTTGATTGAGCCTGTTCATGGACTGTACTGGAAAGTGCAAGTTACCGTCCACGCCCCCTAGCACCGGCTTAATCAGAATTCAACATTTTAACACTAAAAATGGTGAAATTTTGAATTTTGAAACATCCGCAGATGTGTTCATACGGCGGTTATCATGGAACCTTCAATGTGACACAGTAGTGTCATTCCATGAAAAGCGGTGTATGGTCCCCAAGTAAAAGAATGCGTGTGTCCTAAACGAGAAAACAATGGGCAGAATTAAATAAACAGGAATTTTGAAAAGGGATCTGAGGTTATGAAGCCTGCATATCACAGATAAGACGTCAAAAGGCAAATTTAAAAAGCAGGCAACATATCGAAGGGTGATAATACAGTATTCAGGAAGGAATACTGGAACCACCCATGATGAAAAAGGCCAAATACCAGAAACTTAAAATACCATCTAAAATGTATACACAACAATAATGTCGTGCTGAACGATTTTCAAGGATCGAAAATACAACATCATTGATTAAATGTACGGGGAGACTTTTTACAGCCGCCACACGGCACAAATAACACGGATGTGACAATAAAATACAGAAAACCAGAATCCCTAAAGAAAGCCCAACACGGCAAAAATGTAAAATGTTGCAGGCTCGGTTTGACTGAGCCTGTTCATGGACGGTACTGGAAAGTGCAAGTTACCGTCCACGCCTCCTAGCACCGGCTTAAGCAGAATTCAACATTTTGACACAAAAAATGGTGAAATTTTGAATTTAGAAACATCCGCAGATAGGTTTTTTTCAAAGATGTATCGTAACAACCTACCGTATTTTTGTACAATGAAATGTTTGACTTTGTCAGCCTGAAAGATAGGAATATATAATTTATACATGTATTAAAACAAAATAAAAGATGTAACAGCATACACGATATTAAACTGATTGCATGGCAAAAATTCGTCATAAATGGCATAATACGCAAATTTCTATGCATTGGTATAAAGCCTTAAAAACATAAAATTTGAAATTTTGAATTTTTTACATTGATCAAGTGAAGCAACATAGAATGGAAAATTCTGCAATACAATTTTTATCTCAATGTGAGTGAAAAGCGTTGCAACGTTTTTCATGTTAGGGTCATTTTGCACAATAAAAGTAAAATTTGAACACAAGTTATTGGTTAAGATCTACATCAGATTCTACACAAATCTTGGAGAAAAACATTTTATTATTATTATTAGCTCTTTCATGTAAAACAACACAGTGGAGTTCCTTTTACGTTTTGATTTTCAAAATAGAAATAGGAAATCAAAATATATAGTTTTACATCGGTAGAGTGGAATATTTATAAGAAATATAGAAGACAGATAAATAAAACATAAAATGTTACTTATATGTACTACCTAAATGTCGAGATGCTCTCAAAATTATGATTCAATTTTAGAAAACCAAAATAAAATTAACAAAAATAACATAGAAAAAAAACCATTATCAGTTTTAACTATAAAAAAATTGTATAAGGGTTGTTTTCATTTGACAACATAATATTAATTTGTTAAGTGCCCATGGAAAAGTATATCAAAATAAAAAAATAGAAATGTAAACTGAAAACGAAATATTTTCAATATTGCGGTTAAAGCATGAGAATTTTACAAAAATTGCAACACTGTTTACCCTATCTTTAACATTTGCAGTGATTGTCCATGTACCAAGAACCGGTTCAGAGTCCATTATAAGATAATCTTCGATGACACCATAATTGGATTCTGATACGTTCACCATATTCTTCATTATGTTTCCTTTCGGATCCTGAAATGTTCACAAAATCGGAATTTAACAATATTGATTGAAGAAATTATAAAATAAATAGTATTGTTTGACAAAATTGACATGAGACTCGGGAACTGTTCAGTAGTTTCCGTAATTTATTACGATTTATTAATTGATTTTAATGATAGGAAAGGTTTCGACAGTTCATGTTATACTAACATCCCGATGGTCTAATGGTACGTATAATAACATAGCAATCCCGAAGTTGCAAGTTCCAACCCTCAACAAACTTTGTTTTCAGATTTCTTTAAAAACAATTATAACTGTATGCAGCATACATGGATCATTTTCTTTAATTTTTTATTTTTTTTTTGGGGGGGGGGTATTATTTTAAATACATGCAAAAATACCCACCAGGCAACTCATTTGCAATCATATTATTCATTCTAAGATGATCCCTTCTATGACCTTTAAATTCATATTGTTTATTCATACAACAGGTACCCAGTCAAGTTTGAAAGATTACGCCGAGAAATCAAGCTAGGTCTTTTGCCTTCAACCCAAGATGTCGCTATCTTACTTTTACAATATTGATGCAGCACAAAAAAACATGAACAAAATAAAACAAATATAATACTGCTATGAAAACAACAGAATTTGACATAAACTTACAGTAATCGAAATGTTCAGTTGTCCCGTATAAAGCAACATTGTGGACGAAATCCCAAATGCTCGAAAATGCACTGAAAGATAAATGCTCATAGATACAATATACTTGTTAATTTTCGACTTTTCGCTTGGCGGGGTCGCGGGGAGAAAACACGAATGGCACAAATCAGCCACATACGCTCATAGTAGTCTGCCTGCAAATTTTTTTTGGGGATGAGTTTTTCATGATGTTGATGATTTTTCGTGTAGAAAAAAAGTGCGAACTTTTTTTATTATGTTTAAAAATTTTAAAAAAAATTTTAATATTTTTTTAAATGGAAAAATGGTAACATCATAAGGTGTTTTGTCTCCTTCAAAAATGCGGCGTTATACCCATGTGTAGACAGGCTAACGTATTTGTATTTTCTTGTCTTAGAAACGTTGTCATTCATACGTTTTTTTATCCAGGTCTAAATATAGACCCCTCTGTCTTAAAACTAGAATTTAGCTACAACGTTAACTTAGCTCTGTGACTAGGCTTATCTGATTGTGCAGGCGAATATAACCTGTTCTGTTTTTGTACGTAGGTTTACCTGTTTTATTAAGTTAATAAAGACCTTTCTCTGTCTAAATATGGAGGTAGGTTGACTTGTTTTTCGTGGTTTGTTGAATATATCCTGGTTTTTCATATTAAAAATATAAGTTTAGGTTCACCTGTTTTTTTATATATTTTTCATATACCCTTGTCTGTCCGAATATATACCTAGGCTTACCTGTTTATCCAGGCTTATATATACCCTTGTCTGTCGGAATATATACCTAGACTTACCTGTTTGTCCAGGGTTATACATACCCTTGTATGTCTGAATATATACATAGACTTACCTGTTTGTCCAGGTTTATATATACCCTTGTCTGTCTGAATATGTACGGCGAACGTTTCACTGATATCACCAGAATCATGGTGTAAGATTGCGTGCTCTTGGAAAAATAAACCCCTCAGTCCATTTATCAGGAGAGAGTAAGTTTCTGGATTGTGTGACAGATTCGGTACCTAAAGAAAAACATGAAGTACATGTGAAAGCATTGGTATATGAATAAGTCTATTCAATACTTTTTGAGTTATATAATCACTTTTGTAAAACTCAAAGATTTAGGTAAGTGTTTGGTAAGCATTTACAAAATTAAGTTGGTCAAGGACGGTGGATCCACTCAACTAATTTAATGTTGTAGATGCTTCATAATAAGCATTAAACAATTTTAAATAATGTTTGAAATTATTTATAAAAAAATATCGATTTACTTGACTGATTAAATTTAGCCAATTTACCAATTTAAGTAAATGCTTTATGATTTATCCGAATCTACTAGATAAAAATTAATTTCAATCACTAAAACCCAAAATGCACGCACACACAGAGAGTTCAAACAAGTCCATAACGAATTATTAATTGAGGTTTAGCTGATAACGAAGGCATTGTCGTGCTGAAAAGATTCATAGGTGATATCAAAAATCATTAACATAAGTTCGGATCGCAATCACAAAAGCTGCAATATTTCGTAATTGTGTGTATTGTTCTAATACATGATACAAAAATTAATTAACATGAAAAAAAACTAACAACAAAACCTATTATGATAGGTTATCTATCCCATGTCGCATTTAAATAAAAAATATAACTCATGAAGAAAAAGATAAAAAAAACATTCGCATGTAAGGGTTTTTGGATTTTAGTTTTGGTCCAAACCGTTCATTTTTATTTATGGTTTAAAAATTTCCCTACCCCCCCCGCCCCCCCCCAACACACACACAAACACACCGTGTGTTTTTTGTTTTGCAAAAACTGAAAAGGAAAATTTACTAGTTTTTAACAACCCCGGTTTCCCCGCAAAATAAAAATATATAGACTTAATTAGAGGTTTTATCAGAACATATTAATTACTTTATTTGGGACTTGTACAGCAAAGTCACTTCATTTTGGACTTGTACAGCAGAGTCACTTTATTTAGGAATTGTTCAGCAGATGAACTTCATTTAGGACTTGTACAACAGAATCACTTTTTATGCAGAATCACCTTATCTGGTACTTTTACTGCTGAATCAGTTTATCTAGGACTGGTGCAACAGAATAACTTTATTTGGGACTTGTACAGCATAATCACTTTATTAAGGTCTTGTATAGCAGAATCATTTTATTCAGGACGTGTACAGCTGTATCATTTTATTTAGGACGTGTACAGCTGTATCATTTTATTTAGGATGTGTACAGCTGTATCTTTTTATTTAGGTTTTGTACAGCTGTATCATTTTATTCAGGACGTGCACAAGCTGTATCATTTTATTTAGGATGTGTACAGCTGTATCTTTTTATTTAGGTTTTGTACAGCTGTATCATTTTATTTAGGACGTGTACAGCTGTATCATTTTATTTCGGACGTGTATCATTTTATTTAGGACGTGTACAGCTGTATCATTTTATTTAGGATTTGTACAGCTGTATCATTTTATTTAGGGCTTGTACAGCTGTATCATTTTATTCAGGACGTGTACAGCTGTATCATTTTATTTAGGACGTGTACAGCTGTATATTTTATTTAGGTCTTGTACAGCAGAATCAATTTATTCAAGACGTGTACAGTTGTATCATGTTATTTCGGACGTGTACAGCTGTATCATTTTATTTAGGGCTTGTACAGCTGTATCATTTTTTTCAGGACGTGTACAGCTGTATCATTTTATTTAGGACGTGTACAGCTGTATCATTTTATTTAGGTTTTGTACAGCTGTATCATTTTATTTAGGACGTGTACAGCTGTATCATTTTATTTAGGTTTTGTACAGCTGTATCATTTTATTCAGGACGTGTACAGCTGTATCATTGTATCCAGGACGTGCAGAGCTGTATCATTTTATTTAAGAATTGTACAGCAGGATAACTTTATATAGGACTTGTGCAGCGGAATGACTTATTTAAAACTTGTACAATAAGTACATTTTCATATATTAATTTATAACAATTAACAACACTAAATTTATAATGTCACAGTGTGGGAACTTAACACTATGCTCTTTCTAAAACAGATAAACATATTATATTGATGGAGTGTAACAATTTCGTTTTAGGGGAAGACTATAATTCATTAAAATCTGATACTTTGAAATAGGTTGGTAATATAAAGCCTTTTTATTTTCAAAATAAATAAATTTGTCTGATTGATTTGATAAAAAATCTTAAAAGATTCTTGTTAAGATTTCCAAGAAGAAATCACTGATAATATTTGTGAACATTCATTGAACAAGCATGGAATATGTGTTTAAAATATTTTGGCGCACAAAAATAACAAATTACCTTCTTTAAAAGTGTGCGTAAGGGAAGTCACCCTGTGATGACTATCGGAAAGCAGGTCCAGTTGTACCTTTACATCAACTCCAGACGTGTTATAAAAGGTGAAGGTCACCGGAAGCGGAACTCCAGGCGTGCACTTGTCAGGAACGACAATCCAGTGGGTCCTTTCATTACAAAGAAATATTTCCGTTTACAAGAACATGGCATATGATTATGAACGTTTTGTGTTTGTAAGTATCTTTGTTTTCGTTTTTGTTGTTAACATCTACATATATTCTGAATAGCATATTACGTATAGGTTATTTAAACCAGCATGTCACTGTTTTCGTAATGTAAAATATGATTACTCAAACAATCGTTTATACCAGCATTTAATATACCATTTGTATTTTTAAACTGGTTATATAACGCATAAATTGTAGCATTATGTTCCAAATATAATGTTTAAACTACTTATATCAACAAGTTATTGTTATATATCACCAAAGCTTATGTTTAAACTCAATATTACCAACTGCATGTTGCATATTATGGAATATAGTGTAACCATTGGTATATTACCATTTCAGTTGTAAAGTATAACAAGATATGAATATAAATTATAAACTTGGTATATTTTCCATTGCAGTAGTAAAGCATATCATAGGATAAAAATGTGGAAATTGGTTATATTAAACATTTGAATTATACAGTACAGTATATCAAAATATAACTATAAAGTAAAAGCTTGTTATATTTTCCATTGCAGTTGTAAAACATAGTATGCGAATAAAATGAGGAAATTGGTTATATTACATATTGTATATCATGAGATATATAATTAACAAAAAAGGTTATATTACCCATTGCTTGTAGCAGCATGACATGTTTCAAATGTCAGAAGAATTATGACCGCTAGTAACATGGCTGTCTAAAATCTCTCTGTAAAATAATATCAATTAAAGGCCCAGTAATGCTTTTATTTTTATTTCTCAAAATATTTTCTTTTTTTTTTCTTTATTTTTTTTTTTTTTTTTTTTTTTTTTTTTCATTATTTTTTTTCTTTTATTCTTTCTATTTGTATTATTTTTATTTTTATTTCTTTTTTTATTTTATTTTCTTTCATTTTTTTGTTATTCTTTTATAGTTTCCAACAAGTTACGCATTAGCCAATTATCTGAACAGTCTGTTTTTCTCCTTCTTCTGTTGCCTTTTCGCAATTTGTACATTTATTGAGATTAAGTGTTTTGTATGAAAGTCAAAATTACTATTTTGTTACCATTTTCATACTTTTATGACATATTATTTTACATTTAGCTCTATATTCTTCAGGTAACAGGCATTTAACATGCTCTAGCATGCTCTGTTACTTAAACATTATAAAACACATACTGGTTATACCTTTCTATAGAAATAAATATCTATTCAACTCTGAGGCACAATGGGCCTTTAAACTATTTAAAAAAAGGCCAGATGAACAGTTCAAAATCGAAACTCAACAGAGAGATTATTACCTGTCTAAATATGAGAATGAAACGTTTTCTTAACAGGTAAATCACATTTAAGGAGGTTGTAAGTATTCATAAACATAGAGAATGACCCCAACTGCAAATGAGTATTTTAGGTTTAAATGCCTGTTATATGGAAAAAAAGGCACCAACTTACCGTTATGACAGAATAGCCATAAACATCACTAGCACTGATAGCAGTGAAATATTTATAATATATGATGACTTTCTTATCTCTCAGGCCACATCCTGTTATACATACCTTCGTAAATTGCAGTGTACTAAAGAAGGCTAATAGTGGTTCATTAAGAACTTAGAGGATTTTTTTTGTTTACACCACTGAATATTAAAGAAACTCCACTGAGGTTTTTTTTTGTCATATTAAAAGACTAGAAATATTTTAAAGAGATTTGTGTACCATTCTTTACGGAGTCCCTAAGGTGACATTTTTCACACTTTTTTTCGCGGGACTTAATTCGTTTTTACGAAATATATATTTCGTAACTACTAATTAATATTTCGTAAAAACGAATTAAAGTATTTCGTAATTAGGTGCTGGGGAAAAAGTGTCGAAAATGTCATCTTACGGGCTCCGTATTTCTAGACCAAATTGTGCACAAATTTTTAGATCATCCCCTCAACCCTTTGTCCAGAATAACAGAATCTATTTTTTATTTGCCAAAATCACCTAAAACTGAAAAACGTCACAACGCTTTACACTCAAATCAAATAATTAACGCAGCCACATTAATAATAATCAATATAATTCTGAGTATATTTCTTTATCATTATTTGCATTTTTTTCAATTTTTAAGTATTTCACTCGATCTATGCAAGGATATCAAATGCTATGCTTTAAGGGGAAATTTGACCTCAATGGTGCTCCTGTTGAGGAAAAATAAAGTTGAGCCAAAATAATAAATTTTTTCGACTCGCAATAACCAGACAAACATATGTTATAATTCATTAAAACTTCATTTGACCAGCAATTTTCAACTCATTTCTTCAAAATAATAGCATGAGGAAGGAAAGTGTATTTGCATTATACATTGCCTTTAACCCTTAACTTTAATTTATTTTACAACTTTTATCAAATATGAACACTGATCCTCTTAATCTAATTTTTATAATTCTACACAGGTTGTTTGTTTGCGTGTTAAAGGATAGTCTGAAAATGTCGGAAAATAGCTTTCTAGTATATAGCTAATGTAATAATGTTGCCTTGCAGCAACATTTTTACTTGTAATAAACAGTAATTGTTCAAAAAATGATAGATGTTGAAGTCCGTAATATATTCGACAAATTGAGGTCATTTAAAAATTTATATTTTATAGAGGCTAATTTTGGTTATGTAAAGCTTTTTTAAGATATTGCACTTAGTATTTTAGACTGTTGTAGCACTTTCTGTCACTCTCCTCGTTAGTTTATTGGTGTAAATATGGGCATTAATGATAATATTGATCAAATTATGTTTCAAAAAAATGTACAATATACAAATAAAATACACAAAAAGTAGTCTGAATGTATGAAAGTGCACGCGCAAATGAAAATTCGGTTTAATACCGTCCTTTTCAGGCCACCATAAAAAAGAATTGGTAGTTGAAAAACTAATTTTAGATAATATTTTCAATTATTGTTCAGTTGATAATGTTCTTACAAAATCATTGAGTAGGTTGCATTTGTCATCTTGTTCATCACATACACAAAAGAACAAAACATTACACTCACAATAATGTAAAACTAACATTAAGGCAAACAATCTTTATATTCATATTTATATCAATGAAATTGATTATTTGATGAAAACAATTATACAACATAAAATTAAAGCAGCCATGAACGTAGAATATATAAACGTCAAAATTATCCAATTAAAATCGACGTTAAAAACATACACGCATGTTATAGAATGCATATGATGTATGGTTAAAATATATAGCATTCTATCATGCTTCATACTGTTGGACAATCAAGTGCATTATTACAAGATATATGCATAGCATAAAACTTGTTATAATTTTAACAGTTGGCTCCTGGTCACCTTATCTTGTATCAGGAGGAAGTTCATATAAACAAGACTTTATCAACATTTGCCATTTGTAAACAGGATATACAATTTTATTATCTATTTGGTGTCGGCCCACCATTGTTTTTTGTCCTAAATATTCTATATAAGAATTCTTAAGACTTTTTTTACAACGGATTGAGTCTTTTGACCTTGTATCAATTTCATTTCCAATCTACTTTGTACTGTTTGATTTATCCCGAAGGTTTAAAGATTCCTGTCATGGATAAAAGGGTACTTTATCAAGTATTCGTTCCATGTATTAAATAGCAATTTAGCAGGTAAGCGTTTTTCTGCCATGTATTAGATGGCAATTTAGCAGGCAAGAATATTACTGACATGTATTAGATGGCAATTTAGCAGGTAAGAATATTCATGTCATGTATTAAATAGCAATTTAGATGGTAAGCGTTTTTCTGCCATGTATTAGATGGCAATTTAAGCAGGTGTGAATAATCCTGCAATGTATTAGATGGCAATTTAGCAGGTAAGAATACTCCTGCCACGTGAAACCAGATCAAAGTATTCCTTCCATATATCAAAGAGCAATGTACCAGTTAATAGTACCCATGTCTATATAAGAAGGCAATTTACCAGGTAGGCGTATTCTCACTATGTGTTAATGAGCACTTAACCAATGAATAGTATCCCTGCCACGTATCAAATGTAAATTTCCTAACATGTATTGGAGGGCAATTTACCAGATGTAAATTTCCTGTCATGTATCAGAGGGCAGTTTACCAGATAAATGAACCTTGTCGTGTTTTTTAAGAGCACTGTACCAGGTAAGTGTATTCCGGACATGTATAAGAGGGCAATTTACGGACATGTATAATTAAGAGGGCAATTTACCAGAACATGGTATCCCTACCATGTATTAGAGGGTAATTTATCAGGTAAAAGTATTCCTCACATGCATTTTAAAAGGGCAGTATACCAGATAATAGTACCATTGCCATGTATCAAAGGGCACATTCCAGGTAAGATTATTTCGGTCATGTGTAACAGTATCCCTGACATGTAAAAAAGGCTATATACCAGCTTATGGTATTCCTGCCGTGTATTTATTTTAGAGGGCAATTTACCAAATAATAGTATCCTTGCCATGCTTTAGCGGGCAATTAACCAAATGATAGTATCTTTGTCATGTTTAAGCGGGGAATTTACCGGATAAGAACATGCCATGTTTGAAAATGCAGCTATCCAGGTAACAGTGTCCTGTCATGTATAAGATAGCAATTTACCAGATAAGAATATTCCTTCCATGTGAGAGATTGAATCTTACCATTGACTATATCCCTGCAATGTATTGAAGCGCAATTTAGTAATAGTAAAAATAGACCAGATTATAGTATTCCTGTCATGTATAAGATAGCAATTTACCAGATAAGAATATTCCTTCCATGTGAGAGATTGAATCTTACCATTGACTATATCCCTGCAATGTATTGAAGCGCAATTTAGTAAACAAATAGACCAGATTATAGTATTCCAGTTTTGTTTAAGAGTGCCATTTAACAGATAAAAGAATTTCTACCAATTTACGGACTATCTCTGACATGCATTTAAGCACAGTATACAAGATAATTGTATTCCTGTCATGTAATAGAGGTCAATTTACCAGATAAAGGTATTTCTTCCATGTCAAATACGGCAATTTAGCTTGTGATAATAATCCTGCCATGTAAATAAGAGGGCAATTTAACAGACAATAGCCTCTGGATTCTATATCCGCACTAATTTTCATTCTCAAACTTTTCACAAATTAGGACAAATTGATTCTCAACTATTTTCCTTCTCAAATTTTACTCAAACTAACAAACTAGGACAATTTATCAAACGTTCTTTGAAATATTGCCATATGGTCTCTCATTTTAAATCTAATCGTCTCCAGTTTTCCCACACGTGCTTGTATTGAAATGTCAACCTGTGTGAGCGTGACATGTACTCCTGAATTACACAGTAGCGTCTTTGCCAATCGTTACGTTTGAACCCCATCACGTGACCATGGGATTCAAATTGAATATTTTTGAAATAGTTTATCATGTTGTTTTCTAGAAGACTCTCTAAGACTTCAAGTTCACAACCTTCACAATCCATCGTAAGAAGGTCAATGTCAAAAATCCCGACGCCAATATTTGTAAAGAAATCAATTGAGCGTATAAGCTTCACGGTATTGTTTCCACCTTTTTCTAAAAACATTTGTTGCTTCTCCCTTGACGTCAACATTTACCGTAGCAGTCTTTTCTCCGAGTCCAATGTTCAATACAGTGATTCTGAAAAATACAAAACAAGAAATACCTTAATTACATACTTAATTAACATTGTAACCTGTCAATTACGCTCTGTAATAATATACATACTTTTTGTAATAATATTTAATATTTTGAATATTATATGAGTTATATTGTTTGAATTGAAATGTTTTCGTTCTACATAATTCATTTTTATATTGAATAAAGTATAATAACCTCATAGTATTACAGTATAATATAGGATAAATCATATCATCTACATGTTCATTACCAATGAAATATCTTCCTTTATCGATGAGATAGATCACATATCTACAATACCAAAAAAGTATAAGTAATCATTCAGTTTTTCATTTTAAGCATGAAATTAGTTATACCGATTTAAGAAGGCGGAAATATTTGTCATAATATTAATTGCGCTAGCCATCGATAAATAATAAGTATCATAAAGCAGTCTATAGTACAGTATAACATAAAGTCAATCAATAGCAACAGAAATTGATACAAAAATAATCGAAGTTTTGTAAGGCAATACAAGAACAAAATACACTGTACCAGGAAAAGTTTTGAAGGATTTCAATGATTGCATCAGAGACATAGATAACAGAGATGGGCAACTTCCTAGCCAGTTAAATATCACGCGTGCCTGCTAAACTTAAAGCTTGTAGCAAGTAAAACTTATTAACCAGATATCAAAATCAGTAAATTAAAACATTTTCTGAAAGCTTAGGCATTTGTCTATTGCTCCAGGTAAAAATATTTACAGTTCTCATTTAAATAAATTTTACATAATTTTTTAAAGAGAACTACTATAATAATTTTTGTTACAAAATTATTCATGTGACAAAAAACTGTCTCAGTGGGTATGTTCTGCCATGTTTTTCTAAGCGTAAGGCATGAAAAATTACCAATATTTTAACATGCAGCAATAGATAAAAGATTTACCTTTCAAATGGTATATAATATTAAAGGATAA